ATGAAATTCTACACGTATGTACAAATAAATAAATAATTTACTAATTTAACATAAATCTGGGTTCTCGTCGATCTCCTAAATACATAGTGTTTTGTTTCATCTGAGTGCTCTTCCTAGAGAGTTCTAAAGAATAAGTCTGTAAATTAAATGGTTCTCACCCAATTAGTCGACCCTACCTATAATATGTCAACTTACTCATCTATCAAAAATGTTTTTGGTTTCACTCAGTTAGTGTCTTGTTGTTTTCGTAGTCGTCAGTATCATGGCAAGAAGTAAAACTTATCTTAGGTTTGCAAAGGAAGTGGTAATTAACGCACAGGATCAATGAAATGGCTTGCCTTAGAGGCATGGGTAAACTATTCTATTTTCTAGAAGACTACATGCGCCTTTTGTTAAAATCCGCGAATCTAAGGCATATGCACCATGAAAAGCAACCCAAAACTTCGACGAATAAAAAACGAAAAAATGTTCGTTTTCAGCAAAATGAATTTTACAAGACCTTTCAAAGATGAGCAGGGAATTTCTAAGCAAACTGGCCAGTTGCTGTTTTGAGCAAAGAAACCGGATCATGTCAACCATTCAACCAACTTTCACGCGACTTTGTCGAAGATAAATCAATAAATAAATAAATTAGCGTGACGACGAATCAGTGTAACGACATGAGATCCAGGCTGGGGGCTCTAGTGGTGGTGGCTGCTGCTCTTGCCCAGGGTGAGCGCCGCGGTGAACATGGCGAAGAAGAAGCCGGCGAACCCGGCCGAGGCGACGAGCAGCGCGAGCGTGGCGAACAGCAGCGGCACAAGCGTCATGAACTTGAGCTTGTAGCCCACGAGCAGCGGCAGGAGCCACTTCTTGAGCTTGTGCTTCTTGATCTTGAAGGTCTTGGTGCCGGCTTGCTTGGGGTCCTTGGCGTCTGCGGGCAGAAGGGTCAGGACAGCGTGAGAAAAGTCTGCGACTCGCGACAGCCGCGCCGGCGTCGCATCCCTGCGCTTTGGTTGCCATCTTCCAAGAATCTGGAGAGGGGGGCGACAGCGCGTGGCGCATGGCGGTGGGGTGCGCGGCTGCGCGGCCCGCTACGAACCGCCGCAGCACCACCAGCGCGCCGTGTGAGAAGGGTGGCCTGCGCTCCGGGCGCAGGCGAGGAGCCTGCACTTTCTCTAGTTCCAGGACCGCCGCGACGTCTCGCTCCCCCGGCCTCGGGCCCGCTCCCCTCTCTGAGCCTAAAGGTTTGCCTATCTGTAGGGCGCAACGAGTGGCCCGGGCCCGTTCCGTGTCCCGTCATGCGCAACAACCTACCTTTACCCCACCATAGACGGCGAGCTCGTTTGGTTGCCTGCCTGCCGGGCGCTAGCTGAAGGGCAGCACACACTACCCGTTTAATTATTCATCTATTTACTATTACTGCGTCGGTTTCGCAAGGGGTCCACAACTTCAGATATCCACGGATCAAACAAAAATTCGTATTCAATACTATTTAGTCTTCACTATCTTTCAGAATTATCTTTTATTTGTATTCTTGGAATTCCCAAGTATTTAAGTCCAAATTTCACTCCGTATTTACGATTATTCATTGATGTTCATGAAAATTCTACTTTTGAAAATAATCACAGGTCACGGAATTACCGAGCTGTTAACTCCTTAGGAGTGCCATTCATTGTTAAACTTACTTCAACGTATTCTTTTTCCGCGTGTAACAACCACAAATACTTACCATCCTCGTCATCGTCGTCGTCGTCAAAGAATCCACCGCCCTCGTCATCGTCGTCCTTCTTGCTCTGCTTCCTCCTGGCTGCAAGCGCCGTGGTGGTGGCAGCAGCCCGCGCGCCGACGGCAGGCCTCACCCGCGTGCCCAGGGCCAGGCCGCCCAAAAGGGACCTGCCCTCGGGTGACCTGGACTCCAGGGGCCTGCTCTCCAGGAACCTGCCTTCCGGGGACCTGGACTCTGGGACCGGTGACGCCGCTGCCAGCGCCTCAGAGGCCTGGAACGGCTCGCCTCTGTGCCTTCGGGTGGCGACGGCATCTGTGGCAGTAGGAGAAGGCGCAATGAGAAACACACCAAAACACTCGCTGTAAAGCAACCCCTCCCCTTTCTCATATTTTCTTTCCAGGGTGTTGTTTGCCATCCACACCCCTCCCCTAGTCTAGGCTGCGCGCTGGATTAGCCGTCTGCAGAGCAGAACGGAGATGACAAAGGCTGGACAAAGGGTACCGCGCTCGCCCGCCGGGGCCGGGCCCGAGCCCCAGTTCCTTCGGCCATTAGACCCGTGATAAAATCCAGTCCGGATACTGACGGGCTGGCGAGACTCTCTGCCAAAATTTTTATCTGGCAGCCGGACACGCTGTGAGGCGCAGCGCACCCCCAGCTGTGCGCATGGCTGGACGCGAAAAGCTCCTGGAAACCACGCCGCATACGGCCCGTCCCGGCGTCCCGTGTTTGTAGCTTCTATCTCCGTCCGTCCCGCCCCATTGTTCTTTCCATCTCTCTGTCTCTCTGTCTCTCTGTCTCTCTCTCTCTCTCTCTCTCTCCTTCCCTCCCCATCCCTCTCTCTCCCTCTCCACCTCCCTGCATAAGCCGCACAGTATATTTTTGTGTCTGGTGGCGCTGGTGTAGTGTTGTCTTTGCTGACCGAGGCGGTGACCCTCCTCTTCGTCTTCCCCTCCCTGACCTTTGTCACGTGGTATTGCGGTGCAGTTACGCCCCTCTGCTTCGCGCGGCGCCACGCGACGCCGTTAAGTGGCGAACGTGAGGAAAAGGTCAGGACAACAAAAGGGTTTTCGAACGAAAGGCAAAGCAGCAGCATCGGTAAAGCGCCAGTCCGTCCCCCCACTCTCACTTCTACCGACGTTGCACGACGGCGCGGAGGACATGGTATCGTTTCCTTCCAAACTAACTGTTTCGTGAGGCTTTTCCATCCGTCCGGCCGGCGTCCGTCCGTCCCGCGTCCGTCCGCCTCGCGTTGAACGGTGACTGCTGCAGGTGGATGCTGGCGCCGCCGCTACTGGACCACTCTAATTCCCAGCTGCGGGACCGACACGACAACAAGGTCCGCGCCACGCCTCGCCACTCCCCGGCACGCTACGCCACGCCCCATGAAGTGGGCACTTGCTTCTCGTGGACCAGCTCTCTCCCCCCACTTCCAGTACGGCGGCAGCTTGATCCCCAAATTCATTGCTGCGGTGGAGTCATTATCACGGGCTGATCCCGGGCAGCCTCGTTTGTGGTGGAAGCGAGGTATATAAGGTTTTTGGGTTCTTTGTTGTCTGTAAGCTGAAGGGTCTCTCAAGGAAAGGAAGATGCCATTTAAATAAGGACTCACTCCTGCACTCGAAAAAGAAAGGAGCTGGCTAAATCGCACTCATGGATGTTTGAGAAAATCTGAGTTCAATGGCTGTAAGGACTCTTAAGACGGGGGGAGGTCATGGAAGACTCGAAGGACTTACAAAAACACAAGAAAATTCACCAAATAAACACAAGAAAATTCCCCCGAGTACGTAGTACATAGAAGTACATCACGTAAGACATGTGGGGGTGGTGTGGCTACAATACGCTGCCCCCCCCCCC